ATATATCGTGTCTGAGCCATTCGTTCTGTCTGCCTAACTTTGTGTATCTTTCTAACGTTCTGTTTGTAGCTTTGTCCTTTTATGTAACTGCTTCTCTCTCTCTTTTATCGCCCTTTTCTCTCTCTCTCTTTCTCTCTCGTCCATCTGTTTTTGCAATTATATAACCGTGATTTGCTGCATCATTACATTATTTCACCCTACTTTTCAGTCCTATTTGGGCAAAGGCGAATTCAAGGAGAAAGAGAGACGTTGAAACAAAGGCCAATAAAAAGAAAAACAGGACAGACAGAAACAAGGATAGGAAAGGTCTGAAAAACAAAAAGACCCAAGTCAAGGAGAGAAAAGGAGATAGAAATACAGACGAGAAACGACCAAACAAGACCAGAGGAAGGAAGAACAAGAAAACAGGAGCGGACCGAAACAACGGGGACAAGAACAACAGGAACAAAAACACAGAGAAAGAAGGAAAAGATAAGAACAGTAACAAAGACCAAAAGAGGAAAAACAAAAGGAAGAACAAAGGAAGCAAAAAGAACAGCGGCGTGAAGAAAGAAAAGAAGGAGATGAAGAAGCAGAAGAAGAAGGAGATGAAGAAGAAAAATATGAAGAAAGCGATGGAGAACGCCCCACGCAGAAAAAAGGACAAGAGGCGCGAACCACTTATGAAAGACTTGGGCGCGATTATCGGCGAGGGTGCCATCAACATCAAGAAACTCGGGGACACTAAACCACTGAACATCGCCGGCATCTTCATCCCGAGCGATTGCTACGACAAGATGGGCAAGACAGAGCTAAGTACGGACGGCTGTTTGATTGTTGCTTGTTAGCGAGTCATCTCCATCGTCATCATTACTGTTTCTAATACTATTATCCTTATTATCATCATTACAAGTAGTATTATCATCAGTATCATTGTTGTTGCCATTGTTATATTGATCATTGTTTTTTCGTTATTTTCGAATCTTCATAATCTCTAGTATCATTATCACTGCTTCATTTGTCATTGTCCTTATCATTAGTACTAGTATTATTATCTTTATCATTAGTAGCATTATTGTCGTATATCGCCATTACTTTTTATTCATGCACTATAACAATTATGATTGTCATTGTGATTGTTATTACCTCAATATTACTGTTATGTTCTTATTATAAGTAGGCATGTGTGTTTCATTTTTTTTAATGTTACATTTCAGAGGGCCAGCCACTGTACCCGGTCGAGTGTCCAGTATTGCTTAAGCTCGAAAATAAACTACAGTTTAATAGGTTCGTTAAGCCCATGTGCCTGCCCATTTTCGACAAGATCAAAATCAACAAGGAGAGAGCAGCTTCCATCGGCTACGGAGTCAGGAAGACGTCGAAAATCGGTAAGTTAAGCAGCCACTGGATATGAGTGTGTCTCAATAAAAATATATATTTTTTTTTATGTTTATACTCGTATATACATAACTACCTTCTTATCAGAATTCTCCAAGAGACCGGCTGAAGTGATTAACATGCGCGTGCTCAAGAAGTGCGAGAAGAGGCTCAAGATGAAGCTGGACAAGACTATGATCTGCACGAAAGGAAAGAAAAAGAGCGGACACATGTGCTTCGTAAGTCAGCCTCTGCCCTGACTTCACCCTTCCTCACTTCCTCCCTTCTTCTGCTACCTCATCTTATTTCACCCCCCTCCCCCTCTCCCTTCTTCTGCCACCTTTCCTGACTTCACTCCCTCCCCCTTCTCCCTTCTGCCCCCCCCCCTTCATCCCTTCCTCTACCTCCCCCCCCTCTCCCTCGCCTCTCCTCACTTCAACTCCCTCTTTATTTGGGTGCAAGACCCTTGTCTTGACCTGTTTTTTACTTTCTTTTCATTTGCTGACATTTTGCTAACCGTACCTCAATAATATGCTTTAGTTATTTCCGTTAGTTATCTTACCTATACAGTATTCAGCAATATATCTACCTTAAAAATATAGTTAATCAAACTACCTCAATTGCACTCTTCTTCAGTCTTACTAATATTCTGACTAAAACTACCTAGATCGTATACAATGCAAGCCTAAACGAGTTGATATCTTTGCTTAAATTGTTAATATTTTTCACGGCTTACTAAGTTACCCAGCTAATATTCCTTACTAATTATACCTTACAAAACCTGCAGTACGACGAGGGAGCGCCTCTCCTGAACGTCAAAATAACTGGCAAAGGTTACAAGCAGCATGCTAACCTTTATGCTGCCTTGGTAAGTTGTCAAGCATATATACATAAAAACAGAGTGAAGGACTGAGTGAATGTATCAGAACAGATCATGGAAATTATAGAAGTGTAGAGCCTCCGTTACATGTATATACATGTTTATCTTTGTGTCTGTCTGTGTGTGATGGAGAGAGAATATATATACATATATTCTATTTTTTTTATTTTTTTTTTCTTAGGCCGTGCCTGGCTGCAAACTCGACAAGAAACCCAAAGGAGACAAATACAACCCGACGAAGACCAACAAGTTCTACATCGACGTCTGGATCAACATCAGGAGCTACAAGAAGTGGATCCTCAACTTGGTGTTCGAGGGACAGAAGGCCAAGGCGTGTCAGCGACCCAAGCACTTCAAGTCGGTGCCGGACATTGCCCAGAAGTACGAGATCGAAGACCCTTGTCCGTACTGAGGCTCAAGGACCGCGATCTGGCCGCGCCTCATGCGACCGCTCCCAAACACAACTTGCTTGGAAATATTCTTGGGATAGGGTGACGGAATAGTTCATTGTAGTGTTTCGTTTAATCATGATCGTTTATATCATTAGCATAAAAAATCACTTTCAAATACTCCCATATACACCTGTTTTCCTCGCTTTTCTTTTCTAAAATATCAACAAATCTACGGCATTTGTGCGATGAATGCTTTTGGTGACCCGCAAGTTTGGCAGTCACTGACAATTAAACTTCAGTAACACGAAAATTAAGGGATTATGAAGAAAACTTAAAATTTGATGTGGTTTAAATGCCTCGTGCATTAAAAGGGACTTGTCTAATAACAAAAAATGTTACTATTATTCTGAAACAATAGATTTTCATTTGTGCATTTAACACACAAAGTTTGCTTTCTATAGTGGACTTGCCAGTGGTTTGCCTTTACTGGGTTTCCTCGTTCATGAGAGCCCCATGTTATATGTTGTAAAATTCAGGCTTCATGCGATGTATCAAAAGGTGCAATAAACATCTGTATGTATAGAGATTATCCTGTGTATTATATAACCCACAAACAACAATACCGAGCGAGACCAAGACCTACACTCCAGAGCAAGTCTAGTGGCTTATCAAATATCATCTGTTGTTGATTCGATATAAAAGAGTCTTGAATTCTTTAGCATCCTACATACGTGTCGGTGAATCCAGATTTCATTCCCTTATACACACGTTTGTCTCGCCATTGCAGAAATTCCACTTACATTATATATATAAAGGGTATTAGGGTCATTTTAGATATCATTATCACTATAATCCCACCTTGCTAGTAACATGAATAACTTACCGATTCCAAGAGGATGTCTTCCCTATACACAAAAATAGTGCATAGATATATGACATTCTCTTGCCAGCCAAAGCCCACAGTACACCTATTCACGTACCCAAGCGTCAGAGGCTTAATTCACTCTTGACCAGCTGCCTTTTGCAATTATAAAATACTCAAACTACGTATTAAGTAATATTTCTTTTTATCCACGCTTATTACTGACTAGCTGTTGAATCTTTGATGTTATTAATGTGGCATTCTGTAGTACATAATGATTACCTATTGTATGAATTCAACAATTCAAAATTCAGTAACTTTGAAGTTTCAGTAAGTTGGGAGAACAGTGATCATAAATCCTATTTGCCTAAACGATTTGATGATTGATTTACTTAAATTCATGTCAACTTCAGAACGTCTATGGCACTGTTATCAAGACAGTTCACAATTCCAGAATCCGGAGGGCCATTAAGAGTCGTAATCTCAAAGGGAAAGTAACTATGTCCAAATCCTCTAAAGGAATAACCTTGCACATGGGTCAGAGGACAATGGATGTGAACTGTGTGACCAAGGGAAGGAACAGTTGAAGGGAAAATAAAAAGTAACGTTTTCTCTACTTCTTTCTTTTTTTGCTTTTTTTCTTCTTCATAATTGCTGAGAAGGTCAAAATTGCATATGAACTTATAAAAGAACGACATATAATATATATACATATAATTTTGCAGCAATACATTGAAGGTTTTTACGCAATTCTTCAGTAGCGACAGGTGAAAGGTTAAACTGTAGTTCGGTAAGCCACGTTCTCATCTAAGAGATTAGCATTGCATATATAATCTGCTTTATCAAGGACTACAACGTTATTTCCTTTATCAGTTTTAGTTATCTGAGTACCACACGTGTGAGTGACTTAGCAGCCCAAACATTGCAATTGAGTAACCATCAAAACCTATTATTTGTATTTTTTTCAACAAATCGTTAATCTATCATCTTGCACACATTCCTACTCTTACACAAAATTGTTCGATTTAGGATTATCGTTTGTCACTAACACTAGTGAGATTATTATGATTCGTATCGTGCTGTTCATGAGTTTTTTAGCTTCACAAAAATAAGTATATCGAAAGGTAATGCGTTTTCAAGTAACAAAAATGTTAGTATTCACAGCATGTGCTTTAGTGCACACAGGTAACTTTTTATTCATACAACAATGTTTTACTGCTAGGTATCTTGCAAGAATTACATACGAGGAGCATTGAGTCTTGTAGCGACACAAATGCTGTTCTTAATGCACCAGATAGATCACAAAAAATAAAGACTTCTACGAACATACAAGTCTAATAAAGGAAAACTGGTACGCCTTCTGATTATTGTGGTTTGTTTGTAAATAGATGTCAGCTGTCTTTAGTGAAAAGGATAATACTGTTGGTATAACCAGTGCTTGTGTTTTTAGTATTAGGTCTATTTATTAGGCGACACTTTATTTCAGATCATGGAGGAATGAAAATACATATAATCGTTAACTTTTTATTCACAATTTTCATCTTTAATTTTCAATAAATGTAAGTAAGGTCGTCAATAACCACCAAACTTATGAATCATCGACGTATTAGATCTTTGCTTCCGTAACTCAAATACATTTAGCATCCAAATGTAGAGCCTGTTAGCAGATTTATAAATTTCTAAGAAAAAAAAAATACAGACTTGCTATAAACACTGAATATATATCAGAATGCTCAAAGGAGAAACGCATGAAATATGAACCCAAATCCCGTGATAAATTAAATGAAGCAAATCTGTATAAACGACCATCAGTGGGCGTTGCACATTAAATAAATAAAAAAAGATATCTATTCCTTCACCATAGAATGTTTCCAACTAAGCGGCGTTTGGCAGCGTTCGCATCAGAGACGACCAGCCTCGTCCTTTTCACCCTTAATACGGACAAGGGTCTTCGATCTCGAACTTCTTGGCAATGTCCGGCACCGACTTGAAGTGCTTGGGTCGCTGACACGCCTTGGCCTTCTTCTTGTTGAACACCACATTCAGGATCCACTTCTTGTAGCTCCTGATGTTCACCCAGACGTCGATGTATAACATGTTGTACTTCCTCGGGTTGTACTCGTCTCCCCCGGCGTCTTGCAGTCTGTTCCTCCTCTTCGGGCCATCTCTAGGGGCGATTTTCTTGCCTCGTCGTTGCGCTTCCTTCCTCGGTTTGCTTGCGAGCGCGGTGTCTGGCGTCTCCTGGTTCTTGCGTCGCAGCTTTCGCCTCTTGCCCTTTGCTTCGCTTTCGCTGGTGTCTCGTTTATCTCTGGATTTCTTCTTGCCTTTCTTCTTTTCTTTAAGTTGGCAGCTTGGCACGGCCTTTATTAATGAAAGAAATGTAGAATCAAAATCAATATGTACACATGTATCTATCTGCATATGAAGAAATGAACAGATATATAAACATATTTATTTATTTATGTATCTGTATATGAATAATAAATACATATGTATATGTGTGTGTGCGTGTGTGTGTGTAAGTATAGATTATATATAGATATACTTATATATATATATATACATATACATTATATATATATATATATTATATATATATATGAGTGTGTGTATGTGTGTAGGGCATATATGTATGTATATATATATGTATATATATATATATATATATATATATATATATATATATATGAATATATACACATATATGCATATATATACATGTGTGTGGTTGTGCGTGATTTCATATATATATACATATATAAATATACACACATATATATATGCATGTATATATGCACATATATATGGACATATATATTTATTTATTTATATCATATACATACATATATACAAAAACTACATACAGATATATATATATATATATATATATATATATATATATATGCATATACATACATATATATATATGTATCTATCTATCTATCTATGAATATATATATACATATATATGTGTGTGTGTCTGTGTGTGTGTATGTATATATATACATACAAAAACACATACACACACACATATGTATATATATATATATATATATATATGTGTGTGTGTGTGTGTGTCTTTCTCTCTCCCTCTCTCTCTCTCTCTCTTTCTCTCTTTTACACCTAGACACTAGACAACTTACCAAGGCAGCATAAAGGTTAGCATGTTGCTTGTATCCACTGCCTGTTACTTTGACGTTCAGGAGAGGTGATCCTTCGTCGAACTGCAGGTTGCGAAAGGTAAAATTATTGGAGAACGTTAGTTAGGTTGGGCTAGTTAAGTTTATTCTCAATAACGAAATATATTATTAAGGCAAGGCTAGTAAATTATATTACCGAGATAAAGCTAGCAATGGATATTAACAAGGTAAAGCTAGTAAACGATATTATCAAAGTAAGAGTAACAAAGAAAGTTATCAAGGCCAGGCTAGTCAAGAATATTATCAAGGCAAAGCTATCAAATTATATTATCAGGATAAGGTAAGCAATGGATATTATCAAAGTAAAGGTACAAGAGTATTAAGGTAAGAGTCTCGAAAGAGAAAGGAAGAGCTGGGGATGAGAGGCGTGAAGGAGGGAAATAAAAGTGATAAAGTGATGCCATTGCTCGTGACAAGGAGACTACACCCAAGTAAAGAGTGAGTAGAAGAGAGGAGAGGGAGAGGGGAGGGGCAAAAGAAGGGAGGAAGGGGAGGGGGGATGAAGTCGAGGGAAGAGGCAGATGGGAGGAGGGGGAGGGGCAGGGGGCAGAAAAAGAGAGGAGGGTGAAATTAGGGGAGGTGGCAGAAAAAGGGAGGGGGAGGGGGCAGAAGGGAGAAGGGGGAGGGGGTGGAGTCAGGAAAGGTGGCAGAAGAAGGGACGAAGGGAAGGGGGGGTGAAATAAGGGGAGGTAGCAGAAGAAGGGAGGAGGAGAGGAAGGGTGAAGTCAGGGCAGAGGCTGACTTACGAAGCACATGTGTCCGCTCTTTTTCTTTCCTTTCGTGCAGATCATAGTCTTGTCCAGCTTCATCTTCAGCTTTTTCTCGCACTTCTTGAGCACGCGCATGTTAATCACTTCAGTTGGTATCTTGGAGGGTTCTGAAAAGAGAGATAAATAAAAATCATGAATACAATATACATAAATACTGTATACATATGCTTATACACATACAAGCATGCATGGATGAATGTGTGTATGCATATGTGTGTGTGTGTATATATGTATATATATTTTCTTCATGTCTTTTTTCGTTTATTTATACATTCATTTTCATATGAATATTTTGCTTATATATTCAGCTATGCATCTATTTACGCATCAATTTATCTTATCCGATTCTCCATATGTACTACTTAACATATACTTACAACGCAACTACAATCCTTTCTCTACTTACCTGTCTTCGATTCTTTCCTGATCCCGTAGCCCAGGGAAGCTGCTCTCTCCTTGTTGATTTTGATCTTCTCGAAAATCGGTAAGCACATGGGCTTAATGAACCTGCCGAATTTCACCTTCTTTTTCAGCTTCAGGAGCACGGGGCACTCGACCGGGTACAGGGGTTCGCCATCTGAGGTGCAAGGGGCATGAGGTGGAACCCAAGTGAGGGGGGGGGGATGCATATTTACATATAAAAACAGACACAAACGTATATACAGTCGGACACGCAGACACATCTACACATCTATTTATATCACTATAGTGATATAAATAATAATGATAACATTAATAACAATAACAATAATAATGATAATAATAATAATGATAATAATTATAATGATAAGAGCAATAATAATGGTGGTGATAATAGTAACGATAATAATAAGAATAAGAATGAAAATAACAATATTAATACTACTAATAATAATGATAAAATTATTGATCAATATAACAGTTACAACAACGATACAGACGATAACAATACTAATACTAATGATAAAAGTGATGATAATAGTATCGGAAACAGTAATGATGACGATGGAGATGACTCATTAACAAGCAAAAACCAAACAGCCGTCCGTACTTAGCTCTGTCTTGCCCATCTTCTCGTAGCAATCGCTCGGGATGAAGATGCCGCCGATTTTCAGTGGCTTGATGTCCCCGAGTTTCTTGATGTTGATGGAGCCCTCGCCGATGATCGCGGCCACGTCTTTCTTAAGGGGGGCGCGCACTTTCTTGTTCTGTCGGGGGCCGGCGTTCTCTCGGTCGCTGTTGGGGTCTTTCTTCTGGTCTCCTTTCTTCTTTCCTTTTCGTCTTTTCTTGTTCTTGTTCTCGTCGTCGCTATCGTTATCGCGGTCGTTGTTTTTGTTTCCTTTCTTCTTCCTTCTTCTTTTCCCTTTATTCTCGTCATCATCATCGTTTTTGTTGTCCTTCTTCTTGTCTCCTCTCTTCTTTCCTTTTCCTTTCCCTTTGTTTTCGTCATCATCATCGTTTTTGTTGTCCTTCTTCTTGTCTCCTCTCTTCTTTCCTTTTCCTTTCCCTTTGTTCTCATCATCATCGTTTTTGTTGTCCTTCTTGTCTCCTTTCTTCTTTCCTTTTCCTTTCCCTTTGTTCTCATCCTCATCATCGTTTTTGTTGTCCTTCTTGTCTCCTTTCTTCTTTCCTTTTCCTTTCCCTTTGTTCTCATCCTCATCATCGTTTTTGTTGTTGTTCTTCTTGTCTCCTTTCTTCATTCCTTTTCCTTTTCCATTTCTCTTCGGTTTCTCGTCTTTGTCCCTATTTTTGCCACCGTTCTCTAGTTCTCCGTTTGTTTTCTTGTTCTTTCTTCTCCTCTTGTTACCTTCTTTCTTCTCTGTATCCGTGTCGTCTTCTTCTTTGACTTCGCCCTTCTTGTCTCCTCCCTTCTTCCTTCTCTTTCTTCTATTTGTCATCTCATTATTCTCTCCTTCTGCGGCTCTCTTCTTCCGTAATTTATTATTTTTCTTATTCTTCTTTTCCCAAACGGTTCTGAGAAGTAGGGGAGAAACAGAAAATGATGAAGTGATTTAAAATCAGCATATTATGACGAAGTATGAAAGGCGGATATCGATAGATAAAGGAGAGAGAGAGAGAGAGAGAGAGAGCGATCCCAACAAGGTGTGTGTGTGTGTGTGTGTGTGTGTGTGTGTGTGTGTGGGTGGGTGAGTGGGTGTGTGTGTGGGTGTGTGGGTGGGTGGGTGTGTGTGTGTGTGTGGCTGGGTGGCTGGATGGGTGGACGGGTGGGTGTGTGTGTGTGTGTGTATGTGTGTGTACGTGCGTGCGTGAGTATGAGTACCTAATAACCTAGATTAATCTAGAGAAATATACAGAACAGATTAGTGGATAAAAAAATAAAAAAATAAAAAACATGGGTCGTGGAAGCAATGGTAGCAGAAATAAAAAGGAAGGAACAGGCAAACGAATCACCATAAGAAAATACTAAACACAGAGAAAAAAATCAAGGAAAACAGCACCTGGCAAACAAGTCAGCAAGTCAGCCAATGAAAGCACACTAATAAGAACAGACTATATCCCAACAAAATAAAGCACTTACTTGCAATAAGTACAGCAGGAGGTCGTAGTGAGAATGTATCTGTTACTCAGAAGTGTTCCACCGCACAGTCTTTCAACAGAACGATCACCTTTGACCTTTTCACCCACGAGAGGTCGCTCATATTGTATCAAGCTGACCTATAGAGATAAAAAAAATTCCTTGGTAAGACTTCAGGTTGTCTATGACCAGTGTGGTGGTCTTGGTTTCATAAGCTGGTGAGTATACGAAACTCTTAAATCTATAAGTAGTGAATAATATTCTTTACAATGCTTTCCATACAGAGGGTAAACACACACACACAGGTAAACACACACACACACACACACACACACACACACACACATACACACACACACGCACACACACACACATACACACACACACACGCGCGCGCACACACACACACACACCGTCTTCTCCCTGCACATACAGGCGGATGACGTCTTACCAGCCAAGGGTATTGCTGCCGCTTTCTGTTCGTCCTCCCGTTAAAGGCTCGTGTCATGGGCATGTCTTCATCTTCATTCTTATTCTTCTTTTGAAGTCTCTTTCCCTTCTTCTCTTGTAACTTGTTCTTTCGTCTGTTCTTCGTCAACTTCTTTTGGTCTCTCTCATTCCCTCCTTCGTTCTTGGATGCATTCGTATTTCCGATCTTCTTCCTCTTCCTCTTTTGGAGTTTGGGCTTTTCCTCGTTCCCTCCGTTCTTCCTCCTTCTCTTTGGACCATTCTCCTCGATGTCTCCTCCGTCCTTTTTCTTTTTGTTTTGGTTCTCGGTGTCTTTGTTTCCTACCTTCATCCTCTTCTTCTTCCTCCCCCTTGGCTTCTCGTCGTTCTTCTCCTCTTGTTACCTTCTTTCTTCTCTGTATCCGTGTCGTCTTCTTCTTTGACTTCGCCCTTCTTGTCTCCTCCCTTCTTCCTTCTCTTTCTTTTATTTGTCATCTCATTATTCTCTCCTTCTGCGGCTCTCTTCTTCCGTAATTTATTATTTTTCTTATTCTTCTTTTGAAGTCTCTTTCCCTTCTTCTCTTGTAACTTGTTCTTTCGTCTGTTCTTCGTCAACTTCTTTTGGTCTCTCTCATTCCCTCCTTCGTTCTTGGATGCATTCGTATTTCCGATCTTCTTCCTCTTCCTCTTTTGGAGTTTGGGCTTTTCCTCGTTCCCTCCGTTCTTCCTCCTTCTCTTTGGACCATTCTCCTCGATGTCTCCTCCGTCCTTTTTCTTTTTGTTTTGGTTCTCGGTGTCTTTGTTTCCTACCTTCATCCTCTTCTTCTTCCTCCCCCTTGGCTTCTCGTCGTTCTTCTCCTCTTTGTCTCTTCCCTTCTTTCCACTGTTCTGACCCTGTTTGTTGCTGTCTCCTCCCTCCATTTTCTTCATTTTCTTCTTCCTCCTTCTTGGGCCTTCGACATCCTCCTCTCTCTTCTTGCCCGGGTTGTTAGCGTTCTTATCCTTATTCTCTCCATTCTTTAGCTTCCTCTTCCTCCTTTCAGGGATTGTGCTCTCCTTCTCGACCTTTCTCCTCTCCTTCAGTTTCTCCCTTTCTTCTCTCCTCACGCGTCGCAGAGATTCGTTGTTTGCCTTCGCTTTATTGGCCTTGCTCTTATTCCTCTTTCTAAAGAACTTTCTTATTTGGTTGGGAAGGTTATGCGCACACGCTGGAATGGGAGATAAGCGCAAAAGGCTCTGTGAATGAATACTTTTTTTTTTTTTTCGTGTCCATCAGTGTGATTTTCTCGTTGATTTCTCGTGCCTTCCTATACTGATACGAGGCATTTTAGTTTCGTATTCTATTTGATTTTACTTATCTTATATGAATAAAACATAATAAATATAGTACCTGCACCTGTAGCAATGACGCCAAACCATTTTTATTTCTCAAGGTGTATATTCAAGTGTATGTTATCATAAAAGATAAATATAACTGATTTTTTTCCCCAAATCAATGCAGTATTAAATACCAATTTCATGGATCTTTGATATTTCACTTCATAATTCTGATTCCCATAAAAATAAAAAGGAGAAACACAAACAAACAAACTATATAGAATACATAAACTATTATCTTAAACCATGTGATTTTGGCGCTAATATTATTTTTTTTCTCCTTCCTCTTTACTAAACAGACCTAAGAAGAGAAAACACAAGCAACGAGGGAACATGTAAGAGAGATAAGAAATAAAATCTCAATATAATTCCGAAAGAATCACTCAAGTATAATTTACTCACAGCACTTGGGCTCGAGTTCGGCGTCAGAATAAATCCCTGGGAGGGAAGAGAGAAAAAATGCTGTGAGAACGATATCATCATCACGAGATAATTGCGAAACGACAAATACAAACAAGAATACTATTATGAAGTATCACAAACAAAAATAACAAAAATAGAACTATACAAAAGTGAATTCAGGTATTTGCACACACTGCACACAGGCAGCATTTGTGTCTAATTGCGTCTTAGCCTTCCCACAAGTGCGCGTGGGAAAGATAACACACGCATTGAATATTACTGAACAAGCGTATCTTACATTTCCTCCTGTCTTTCGGCGTGAATTTGATCACGAAGCCCTGGTCTTGCTTTTCGTCGTTCGAGTCGAAGTACAACAGCACTTCCTTGTAGCCTGTGTAGACTTGCGAGGGAGGATTGTCCGCGCAGAACCTGTGGGGAAAGAGGGAGGCTTGAGGTGGGGAAGGCGAGGCACCACGAGGGAGATCGCGGGACGAGGAAGCACGGAAGATGTTTACAAAAGTCAGGATGGAAAATACTAAATAATAATAATAATAATCAAATGAATAAATAAGATATATATGTAAATAGTACAAAAAGATACTTGTGGGTGGGGATAACTAATGCAAAAGTGAGCACAAAACAGAAGCAAAAATATGAATCCAAGAAAAGAAAACAAATGAAATTAAACAGAACAGAAACAGTACGAGTCACACTCACTCGCGAGAGTTGATCGCCGAGATGGATCCGCACTGACTGACCCGAACCACATCCTGGCCGGCGCAGATCGTCCGGTTGAAGTCGGATCCGGTCGGCGGAACGTACGGGGCGAGGGTGGTGGTATTTGTCTCGCTTTCGTTCAGCGCTTGGCGACGACTTCGGCTGAGGTCGTTGGAGGCGAGGTTGAAGTTTTCGAATTCGAGACGGATGACGCAGTCGTCATAGTCCTCGTCGCACTGATAGAGGACGACGTGAGAGTGAGTAAGTGGGGCGAGGTTTGCACGGTTTTGACATGTTCATTGTAAGTGAAGATGATCATGATAGTAATCATAATAATAGTACTACTACTTACAAAAACAGTAAGGATACTAATAACATTTAGGAGAAGAACCAAACACTTCAGAGTCAGCTGATATCCCATAAACAAAGGCAGTGATGCTTCCCTAGACTGAGATTGGAGAAATTGGGACCTTCGATAGCCGTAAAGTGGCCCGAGTGACACAACCGGCTCTTCGATATCTATTTATTCATTAACTTATCTATTTATAATGAAAAATGTTTCCGTCTCCTAGGAGAAACATTTTCCAAATTAAACCACCGTTTTATGTTTCGCAACTGCCAAAAGCACCATTAGATCGCTGCCGTATTATGTACTTCTGTAAGCCTTCTTTTCACAATTGTTTCCAAGAAAAGCCTGGCTCCTCCGATCTCGGCCTGGCAAGGATAATCACTGCTGTACAGAGAAAACAACAGAGAATTTACCCTGAAGATGAAAGGACATCGCATGTGTGGTTTGTACTGAGGATAATCCGGCGACGGTACGATGAGTGGCACGCGGAAGGCTCCGTAGAACACGCCGCCGCAACAGTGTTCTTCCTTCTTTTGAATCACCCTGAGAGAAAGGGCGAAGGAAGAAATAAGAATGAGAAATAATACACGCCGCCGCAACAGTGTTCTTCCTTCTTTTGAATCACCCTGAGAGAAAGGGCGAAGGAAGAAATAAGAATGAGAAATAAATGTTTGAGCATAAAATAATTTATAATTGAAAAAAATAGATTGCTTCTTAACTTAATGCTAATGTGAGAGGGGTATTAAGAGAGAGAGAGAGAGAGAGAGAGAGAGAGAGAGTGTGTGTGTGTGTGTGTGTGTGTGTGTGTGTGTGTGTGTGTGTGTGTGTGTGTGTGTGTGTGTGTGTGCAGGCTTAAAATACATTTTCTATATTGTAGTGGTATCAGAAGTCGCACTCACAAGCCCATACTTCATCATTTAACTTACTGAATGTCTGGAACAATATTTGGATCTCCGGTGGTCACAACATAGCCAAACATCTGGTCGCCAAATGAGTGGATGGTCACATTTTCGTCCAGGTAACAATATCTCATGATGACGCTGGGGAGAACAGATAATTTAGTTACACCTCTTTCATTGTATAAACTATCTATATATTCTAATATACATGTAGCTTTATGGTATATATATAAAACCAAAAATATTGAACATACTCATCGTCAGTACTCACGTGTTGTTATATTTGTCTATAATCTCCAAATAGGGGGGCTGAGCATTCGCCTGGTCGTTCAAATCGCACGGGTATTGTTTTCCTGTCAGACTATTAGTGAACTGGACTTTCATCAGGGTCACCCTAAAAGAGGCGGAAGAGTTCAGTCGGGTGTACACCGTGAGTGAAGAGTATAATATAAATATAGTAAACCATCATGAGTGTTCAGAGGCGTTAGTCTGGTAAGTCTGACAAGTTATAATGAAGGATGAACTGGGGATTGGAAGAGAATCCTGACATAGTGCATCACTCACTCCATGGTATAAATACACTCTGTGTTGTTGCCTGAGGACGTCTTGTTCTGCCTCTCCAGTGCGGAAGTGAAAGTGGTGGTGTCTGTTCCTTCTTCGTTCACTTCTGCTCGGCTGATTACGGTTTCTTTTCGAACACCAGTCGACGTTGCTAACGACGCCAAGGAGCTGAAGGTTTCTGTAACTGTGCCTGAAGAGCGCACCTGAAGAAAAATTGCATTATGAAAAAAGTGCAAAACCAACATCAAAGAACACTCCTCTGCCTCTCCAAACCGTGTACCAACTAGATGGACGCTTTTGCATTCAGAGCTGTTTGCTGTTTTACAGTATTCGCGTTTGCTCTCCCATTACAAGTTTGTTTATGGGAATATGGGAATATTTATTTAAGATATTGAAGATAAATAAAGAAATGCTATTGGTGTGTGGGGAAGGATGAGGAAAGACCGATTAAGAGAAGCGGCAACCCTGCCCATCCAATCCCTCGCGGGCCCTAGACTTCTCACTCATTTTCGTTATTAATTTTTCAACAAGTTCAAAGACAATTCAAAAAGGAAAGTCTATGACAGATGCTGAGCAAGACTTGAGCAACCCAAATATTCAAGTCGGTTGCAGCATTTAGAAATTACGAGCGGAAACGAGGAAATTCAGCGGAGCAAATCCAATGACAGGTGCTTCTACCTTTCGCCCTCCCTCTCCTTTTCCTTTCTCTATAATACCGGTATTTGAATTATGGAAGAAGGACTGGATTCGTATATTAGAAATTCGCATTCACGAAAATTAAAAAAATAATAATAAAAAAAATAAGTAAATAAATAAATAAATAAAGCACTACGCATGCGGAAAATATATATTTGTTCCATCTTTAGCACAGATTCTGTCGCAGAGGTTCAAATCTGAGACTTCTTACACGTAGGTTTCAGACAATGTGTGGATCAACGAAACAGCAAATTAGACAAACTGTAAAACGTTTTTTTCTTCCCTGAACATTATGATGTGACTTTTTTCCATTGGCTGAGAATAATATGTGTGCGTTATTTTGGCTCTGCAAAACTAGACTGATTAAGTCAGGAAATTTCATATATTACTCTATGAACAAAATGCAACAACACCCTATTAAACTGCAGGGGTGTTAGAGCAAAGTGCAGTAAATATGATATGAAAATTATATACTAACCTGCAGAATAAATACAAACGTAAAGGTCTTCTCTTGTATCATCTTTAAAATGAGTTCTACTCCAAATGATATCAAAATGGTATTGGAGTCACTTGTCCCAATGGTGAAATATGTTGAGACAGACCCAGTGAAATCGGACGTGTTGAACTGGGCTGTAGTCACTGTGGGAAAAGAGGTAGTCAGTCTCCATTGTCATGCATTATCTATGTTTATTTCATCTCTTAACATGTTCAGTGACTGATGCTAGAAGCTAAGAGCTACTTAAAGTAAAATAAAAGGTAATCTTTACCTTTAGCTTTTGTGGTAGTTTCTGGTGCAGGAGCAGGTGCTGCAGTAACTGGCGAGTCCGTTTGTTCTGTGGATATTGCGATGGTTATTACTCTTATTTAAATGTTATCTTTACAAAACGTCAAGTTTGAAAAGGACTGTTGTTCTAGATGAGAGCTAAAAGATACTTAAAGTAAAATAAAAGGTAATCTTTACCTTTAGCTTTTGTGGTAGTTTCTGGTGCAGGAGCAGGTGCTGCAGTAACTGGCGAGTCCGTTTGTTCTGTGGATATTGCGATGGTTATTACTCTTATTTAAATGTTATCTTTACAAAACGTCAAGTTTGAAAAGGACTGTTGTTCTAGATGAGAGCTAAAAGATACTTAAAGTAAAATAAAAGGTAATCTTTACCTTTAGCTTTTGTGGTAGTTTCTGGTGCAGGAGCAGGTGCTGCAGTAACTGGCGAGTCCGTTTGTTCTGTGGATATTGCGATGGTTATTACTCTTATTTAAATGTTATCTTTACAAAACGTCAAGTTTGAAAAGGACTGTTGTTCTAGATGAGAGCTAAAAGATACTTAAAGTAAAATAAAAGGTAATCTTTACCTTTAGCTTTTGTGGTAGTTTCTGGTGCAGGAGCAGGTGCTGCAGTAACTGGCGAGTCCGTTTGTTCTGTGGATATTGCGATGGTTATTACTCTTATTTAAATGTTATCTTTACAAAACGTCAAGTTTGAAAAGGACTGTTGTTCTAGATGAGAGCTAAAAGATACTTAAAGTAAAATAAAAGGTAATCTTTACCTTTAGCTTTTGTGGTAGTTTCTGGTGCAGGAGCAGGTGCTGCAGTAACTGGCGAGTCCGTTTGTTCTGTGGATATTGCGATGGTTATTACTCTTATTTAAATGTTATCTTTACAAAACGTCAAGTTTGAAAAGGACTGTTGTTCTAGATGAGAGCTAAAAGATACTTAAAGTAAAATAAAAGGTAATCTTTACCTTTAGCTTTTGTGGTAGTTTCTGGTGCAGGAGCAGGTGCTGCAGTAACTGGCGAGTCCGTTTGTTCTGTGGATATTGCGATGGTTATTACTCTTATTTAAATGTTATCTTTACAAAACGTCAAGTTTGAAAAGGACTGTTGTTCTAGATGAGAGCTAAAAGATACTTAAAGTAAAATAAAAGGTAATCTTTACCTTTAGCTTTTGTGGTAGTTTCTGGTGCAGGAGCAGGTGCTGCAGTAACTGGCGAGTCCGTTTGTTCTGTGGATATTGCGATGGTTATTACTCTTATTTAAATGTTATCTTTACAAAACGTCAAGTTTGAAAAGGACTGTTGTTCTAGATGAGAGCTAAAAGATACTTAAAGTAAAATAAAAGGTAATCTTTACCTTTAGCTTTTGTGGTAGTTTCTGGTGCAGGAGCAGGTGCTGCAGTAACTGGCGAGTCCGTTTGTTCTGTGGATATTGCGATGGTTATTACTCTTATTTAAATGTTATCTTTACAAAACGTCAAGTTTGAAAAGGACTGTTGTTCTAGATGAGAGCTAAAAGATACTTAAAGTAAAATAAAAGGTAATCTTTACCTTTAGCTTTTGTGGTAGTTTCTGGTGCAGGAGCAGGTGCTGCAGTAACTGGCGAGTCCGTTTGTTCTGTGGATATTGCGATGGTTATTACTCTTATTTAAATGTTATCTTTACAAAACGTCAAATTTGAAAAGGACTGTTGTTCTAGATGAGAGCTAAAAGATACTTAAAGTAAAATAAAAGGTAATCTTTACCTGGAGCTTTTGTAGTTTCTGGTGCAGGAGCAGGTGCTGCAGTAACTGGCGAGTCCGTTTGTTCTGTGGATATTGCGATGGTTATTACTCTTATTTAAATGTTATCTTTACAAAACGTCAAGTTTGAAAAGGACTGTTGTTCTAGATGAGAGCTAAAAGATACTTAAAGTAAAATAAAAGGTAATCTTTACCTTTAGCTTTTGTGGTAGTTTCTGGTGCAGGCGCGGCTGTTGCTGGAGCATCTGTTTGCTCTGTAACAGATAATGATGCTGTAAAATGTGAGAATTCTAACATGAATTCTGATGAATAAAGAACCTGACAATTTACTCGTAATATCGCAACCGCAGGCGGAGTAGTTTATATATATTTTGCTTTTGTAGAACTACTAGATTTGTAAGTATATGCCATAATTTAAGGATAATTTGGTTTTGACTGGTACTGAAGTTATATAAGAAAATGTAGTCACTTATATAAGTGCAAGTTAGTTGATATAATTGCTTATCATTCACGCCTATCTTAATAATTTCGTGCAAAATATAAGCTCATAGTCAATTGATAGGAACGCAGATCCAAACCGAATATACTTGGTGCGCAGAACAGTAAACGTAATTTTGTTCTGAAGCTACATAATTGTTTTAGATTCTTAAATTGTTCGTAAAATAAAATGGCATGCTAACCTTCTTTACCTTTTGTGGTAGTTTCTGGTGCAGGTACCGGTGCTGCAGTTACTGGTGCTTCTGTTTGTTCTGTGGATGTTGCGATGGTTACTACTGTTGTAAAAGTATAATCTATAGTAGACACAGCTTCACGTTTAAAACTACTATTGCTGTTGTTTAGAGCAGAATATCATCTAATGTTAAATATAATAAAATCCTTACCTTTAGCTTTTGTGGTTGTTTCCGGTGCAGGTGCTGCTGTTACTGGAGCTTCTGTTTGCACTGTAATAGGCAATATAGATGCTAAAGCGAGAATAACTTGATAAAAGTTCACGTTAAACAAGATTAGTTGGATTTTATCAGAGACATCATTGTGAGGACACAGGGCATATAACTCGTCATCATAGAACTGACAAAATCGTTAACATTCACAATTTTCTCAGACTCAAGGAAATACATACTATTTATTGTATTTATTTTTTGCTTTCATTCTTTTTATTAAACCGTTGACATCTGATCGCGCGAATATTTACCCTGGCCATTCTAGTTTCACCTAGGCGTCAATTACTAGGCCTACCTTGCCTACCTACTTACCCCCCCTCCACCACACACACACACACACACACACACACACACACACACACACACACACACACACACACACACACACACACACACACATACCGATATTTTATTCTGTGCATGCTGGTCAGAAAGTACTATCTAATTAGTGTTCAGTTTACAGCATAGCATCCGGTCTGCAGGCTGCAACTTAGCAATGCTGCCTAATATTAAGTAGCTCCTTTGCTGCGCCTTTACGTTAATCTTTCATGTATTTAATAAACCTCTAATGTACCGTAAAAAAATTAGGTACATCTTCATGTGCACTCTTTATTACCTTGGGCTTTTGTGGTAGTCTCAGGCGCAGGTACAGGTGCTGCAGTTACTGGTGCCTCCGTTTGTTCTGGGGAAGTTGTAATGGTTACTATCGTTTTAAAAATGTCACCTCATGTAGACATGGCGTGTTGTTTTAAGAGGACTATTTGCCGTCGAGAGCTGGGCATAGCGACATTTTTATAACTACTGATGTCCATAAGAGCGAAAACATACCAAATATTAATAAATACCTTTAGCCTGTGTGGTAGTTTCCGGTGCTGGCGCTGCTGTTGCTGGAGCTTCCGTTTGTTCTGTGAATGTAATTGTTCCTATTGTTGTAAAATTGTCATTTCATACATATACATATAGCGTCAGTTTTTAAAAGGACTATTGTTGTTGATAGCTAGGCATTGCGCCATGTCTGAAACCAGTGATGTACATACGAGTTAAAACATACCTAATATAAAATAGGATGAAATCCTTACCTTTAGCTTTTGTGGTAGTTTCTGGAGCAGGAGCTGCAGTTACTGGA